AATTTCACTTGGGAACAATTAATTTCGATTTCTGTTTGTTTGTTTGTTTGTAGAATGCAGAAAAAGAGTGCAGAAAATAAATAAAATAAAGTCAAGTGGAAATGTAAATGAAAAAAAAGAGTTGAATGTAAATTGTAAATAGACAAACACAAACAAACAAACACATTTAGCCTAGCTATATATTATTAGGAATTCTATTGAGAATCCATTTTCCAATTGGAAAATGGATGATTATAATTGGTAGGTTTTTTTATATTTGATTCTGGGATTCTGGAAATGCGAAAAATTTGCGTTTGCGTTTATATAATTAAATACAAATTCGTATATTAGATTTTTTTTTGTACTCTTTCTTTATCTGTTTATATTCTGAACAATTCTGCGTAAATTTAGTGTAGTTTCTAGGTTCATTTTCATTGTTTGTTTTTGCTTTGTTTTGGTTTTCCAAGTTACTTAAGTTACGTTTTTTTTTATTTGTCAATTGATAATTACTTTTTGATGATGATGATTAAGAAAAAGTGATCATCATTAGTTGTTTTCTATGGAAAATGATGTTCGTTTGTTTTTTGCTTCTTCTTATTCAATTAATTGATTGATTGATTTGGAATGATTTTTCATTTTATTCAAAATAAATTTAGATGAAATGATGAAAGAACCAATGCTTTGTGGTGGTGAATATATGTGCCAGGATATTGAATCACCAGATCCATATGTTTGTCGTGAATATTATGAAGGACCAAATGATGGTATTACTAATTTTGATAATTTTGGTCTGGCTATGTTGACCGTATTTCAATGTGTTACAAATGTAAATATACACATTTCTTTCTTATTATTATTTTGCATTTCATTTAATAAATAAATAATTTTTCCNGATCCATATGTTTGTCGTGAATATTATGAAGGACCAAATGATGGTATTACAAATTTTGATAATTTTGGTCTGGCTATGTTGACCGTATTTCAATGTGTTACAAATGTAAATATACACATTTCTTTCTTATTATTATTTTGCATTTCATTTAATAAATAAATAATTTTTCCTTTTCCTCGTTTTTTCAAATATTTATAAATCTTATAGGAAGGTTGGACCGATGTGCTTTATTATGTAAGTGGTATATCAATTTTGTTTATTCACCAAACCAAACGAAAAATTACATGATGTGGTTAGATCAACCTAAACCACGAAAATGACAGCTGTTTAGACTGAAAAGTAGTGAGATTTACCGCACACACACTAAAACACAAGTTTTATTGTCTTTGAAAATAAAAATAACAACATCCGGAAATGTTTTTGGTAATTACCATCATTACCATCATTATATGATGACAACAGAAAAATTCCCGAAAATTTTCTCTCTGTTTTTCACATGATAACTTTATTCTGTTGTTGTTACAAATCCGATAATAATACAGAGAGTTTTCATATAGCAAGAAGAATATTAATTTGAAGAAAGAAAAAAACATTTTTTTTTGTTTAATGTTTATAATTATCATTACCATCATCTTTTCACAATGATGATGATTATGGTTTAACTTGATGAACTTTTCAATTTTCTTCTTCTTTTTTTGGATGATATAAAAAAATCTTTATCCTCAACATCATCATTATTATTATTATGTGATTCGAACCGAATGAAAAACTTTTTATTTTTTTTTGTGGTTGATTATTATAGTCACTAATTGCTTTTTTTTTTGTTTTCTATTGTTCTTCTCATTTACACTTGTTTTTGGTTTTTTCCCCCGCATATAAATCCATAGATTAATGATTCTGTTGGAAATTCATGGCCTTGGATATATTTTATCAGTCTTATTATATTGGGTTCATTTTTTGTTATGAATCTTGTATTGGGTGTTTTAAGCGGGTAAATTTTTTCTTTGGTTCTTTGTTGATTGATGAATTGAATTTTTTTTTTGTTTTTTGTTTGTACAGTGAATTTTCAAAAGAAAGAGAAAAAGCTAAAGCACGTGGTGATTTTCATAAATTACGTGAAAAACAACAAATTGAAGAAGATTTACGTGGTTATCTTGATTGGATAACACAGGCCGAAGATATTGATCCAGATGATAAAGATAATGGTGGTGTTGGTGGTGTTAGTGGTGGTGGTGGTGGTGGTGGCGGTAGTAGTGGCGGTAATCGTGGTCGTGAACGTGGACGTAAGTTTTGGTCCAATATTCCCTTTCTCTATGAAAAATTCAATGGAAAAACAGGAAACCAATTTTATGTTTGAAAAATAAATATTCACATCGTAAAAGTTTCTTCTTTTTTTAAAGTGAAGAAAAAAAGTTTTGTGTTTCCACATTCTTTCAATTTTTGAAAAATGAGTTTATTTTGCAGGCGAAACATTTTTTGTTTTCAACACTATAATTTATTGTATGAGTTTCTAGTGAAAGAATTTCATTGCAAAATCAGCCAATGTGTTAGTAGGGAAGAAAAAAAAATCGATTAAGGATGCTTTTGTTATTGTTGTTGTTGTTGAGCGAAACTGAATTTTTGATTTACCGTAATTCTTATTCTGCTGTTTTTTTGTTTTGTTTTTTTATCACCAAAAAAAATTTTCTTAAAATACACAGAAGACAATGAAGAAAATCAAATCGAAGGTGATGAAAATGAAAATCAAGAAAAACAACCATCATATTGGACAATGAAAAAGTTTGTTTGTTTGATTCATTCATTGTTTGTTTACCAAAAAAATAACATTTTCAATTTCTTTCTTTTTGTTCCTTCCTTTTCAAATTTTCAATCATCAACCAAAATAATGAATAATAGAATACAATTATCACGTATAAATCGTCGTATGCGTCGTGCATGTAGAAAAATATGTAAATCACAGGCATTATATTGGACAATAATTGTACTTGTATTTTTAAATACATTAACATTAGCATCCGAACATTATAATCAACCACAATGGTTGGATGATTTTCAAGAAGTAGCTAATGTTGTTTTTGTTACATTATTTTTATTAGAAATGTTGCTCAAAATGTATTCATTAGGTTTAAAGGGTTATTTTTTTTCATTATTCAATCGTTTTGATTGTTTTGTTGTTATTAGTTCAATTATTGAATCAATATTAACATATTCAGGTATGTGTTTAACTAACTACTATCTAAATCCAAAACTTTGAACCAAAAATGTATTACTTTTCTTTTTTTCTTTAAAAATTACAACAATTTCATCCACATTCCACAGATATAATGCCACCATTAGGCGTATCAGTGCTTCGTTGTGTACGTTTACTACGAATTTTTAAAGTGACCAAGTAAGTGTTTATTTGTTTGTTTGTTTGTCCATTATTATTACATTCACTTTCTCCATTTTTTGTTACGGAAAACTATTTGTTTTTCGGAAATGGAAAAAATACATTTCCACACACACACACACATCATGGTCAAGTATGTTCATTTGGTGTTAAATGTTTTGGAATGTTTTTCCATCACCATTCATTCTTGACTTTTTCGTTATTCGCAAAGCAAAAGACACACAATGAAAAAGTGATGCTCAAAAACAACAACAACAACAAAAAACTAAAACTAAAACTATCATTATTATTGATGAGATAGTTGGCGAATCATTGTCATTATCATTATAATGGGAAAATTTTTTCTGTTGTTGTCGAAAAAAAGCGGATGAATACAAATGGAGATGATGATGATGATGATGAGTTTCATCTAATTAACTTTTTGACACTAGATTTGTAATTATATTATATATAGTGAGTGAGTGAATGAGTGAATACTTTAATTTTTAGCCTAAAATTGATTCGACACTTTTTCTGCTGTTGTTGTTGTTTTGCATAGCGAGAGAATAAAAGAATTCAGCAAACATTATCATTTTCTGATGAAAAATTACCAGAAAAAATTAATGATCCATCATCCTTTTCATTATTTTTGTTGTTGTTGAATTATTTAGTAAAGTTTTCCTTGAAATCATTTGATAATAATGATTTAAAAAAAAAAAATTTGTTGTAAAATTCAAAATAACAAGAATTTTTTAAAATTCTTATTATTTTTGAACAAAAAAAACAAAATATAATGGATGTTACATATTATATAGAATAATAATATTGATTAATTGAAATCAATATTATGATTGTTGTAAATGATCATACAACCATTAACACCGCAACACCTACACTCTATTAAAAAGATGCTATATGGGGCAAATTTTTTTTTACTAACATTGATTTTCAACGATTGATTTTCAACGATTTCTTTTCCATTTTTCCATTTTCATTGAAAAAAATAAAATAAAATTATAGATATTGGCTATCGTTACGAAATTTAGTTGCATCATTAATCAATTCAATGCGTGCAATTGCATCATTATTATTATTATTATTTTTATTTATTGTTATATTTTCATTATTGGGTATGCAAGTATTTGGTGGAAAATTTAATTTCCCTGAACAAAAACCTCGTCATAATTTTGATTCATTTTGGCAATCATTATTGACCGTATTTCAAATATTGACCGGTGAAGATTGGAATGTTGTTATGTATGATGGTATTAAAGCATATGGTGGTGTTTCAAAACCTGGTATATTAGCTTGTGTTTATTTTATTATTCTATTTATTTGTGGTAATTGTATGTATCTTTGGTTGATTTATTTATCTGTGTGTGGAATTCATTTGATCATCATCATTATTTTTCTGTCTTTTTTTCGCAATAGATATATTGCTCAATGTTTTCTTGGCCATTGCTGTTGATAATCTTGCTGATGCTGAAAGTTTAACAATTGAAAAAGAAGATGATGAAGAAGAAGAAGATGAAGATGAAGGTATTGAAGTATTAACACCAGAAGAAATGGCTAAACGTGAAATTGAACAACGTCGATTACGAAGAAAATTACGTCGTCGTCGACGAAGAAAACGATTGAAAAAATTACAAATGTTACAACAACAACAACAAAAAGAAACAACTAATGAAGAGCTTAGTGCAAATACTGGTGGTGGTGGTGGTGGTGCAGATGAATCAATAATCAATGATAATCAAATGTTGACAATCAAATCCGAAAATAATAAAGATAATGATGATGAGGAATCGACCGATGATAATGAAGATGATGAAGATGAAGATGATGATGAAATGGATGAAGAAGACGAAGATGATGATGAAGATGATATTGAAATTGGTGCTAATCTTGTTGGTGATGGTGAAATCGATGATGATGACGACGAAGATGACGAGGATGATGATGATGATGATGATGAAAAAGAAAATAATATGAAAATTGGTGCCCGTCCAAAACGTCTTTCGGAAGTAAATATACCGAAAAAAATACCACCAATACCTAAATCAAGATCATTTTTTATATTTTCACATACAAACAAGTATGTATTATTAATCATGTTGATAAATTTATAATACATTTTTTTTATAATCAAATACAAATCAAGATTCCGTGTTGCCTGTCATCGTTTTATAAATCATAATTATTTTGGTAATATTGTTTTAGTTTGTATTATAATCAGTAGTACAATGTTGGCAGCTGAAGATCCATTAAATGCTGTTTCTTATCGTAATATTGTATGTTGTTATTTGTTGTTTTCAATGATTTTCAGTGATTTTCAATGATTTTTTGATAATTTCTTTTCAGATTTTAAATTATTTTGATTATTTTTTCACAACAATATTTACAATTGAAATATCGCTTAAGGTAAACACAGATGTTTTGATTTTAAACTTGTTTTGTCTAATTTTTTTTGTTGAAATTTTCTACCTTTTCTACCTAGACAATCACATATGGTGTTATTCTACATAAAGGAAGTTTTTGTCGTAGCTATTTTAATCTACTTGATATACTTGTTGTTTGTTGTTCATTAATTTCATTCTTTTTTTCGTAAGTTAACATTATTGTTGTTGCCTTTTCTTCTGTCTCATTTGTTTTTTATCTTTTCTCTTTCTTTATAGAAATGGTACATTTTCTGTTATCAAAATTCTTCGTGTTTTACGTGTATTACGTCCACTTCGTGCTATAAATCGTGCCAAAGGTCTTAAGGTATGAGATGTTTTTTTTTTGTTTTTTTTGTTTCCCATCCCATTATCGTATCGTCGGTCATTCTTGTATGTTGTTAAAAGAATCCATATTTCAAAAAAAATTATCAACATTTCGCAAATATTCATAGGAATATATTGAGAAAAGAAGTAATAGTGAATTATGCAAAACCATAAAAAAAAGAAAAGAATGAAAAAGTATTTCTCCTATATTTCACCGACGATTCTGAATCGAAGAATATTCTTTAGTTTTAGTTTTTATATATATTTAGTAATGTGCGTGAGTAAATCGTTTGGTTAAAGAGTTTTTATCATATTCTTCATTCCCTTTCAAATATAATAAATGGGTGTTTGAATGAATGAATGAATTTACATCCAATTTTCCTATTTCTTTTCTTATTAAATTGTCCATTTTTTATGTTTCTGTTGTTGATGATAATAAAATGAAAATGAAAAAATATAAAGCATGTCGTATCCTGTGTAATCGTGGCCATTAAAACCATCGGTAACATCATGTTGGTAGGTAACCAGAAAAAACCAGAAAAACAAACCAGAAAAACAAAACAAACCACCCACACACACATATACCACAAAAATTATTGATTTTCTTTTCTTTTTTTTTCTCTTTTCTTTTATTTTGCCAATTTTTTTTTATTTTCATTTTTCCCTTTTTTTATATAATTTTCTCGGTTAATTATGTTTTTTTCGGACTGATTTTTTTTATTAACCCCGGTTTTTTCATTATTCGGAACATTCATCAAATTCATTGATCAAACCAAACCAAATCAAACAAAAAAATCATTCTGTATTAGGTAACATTCTTGCTCAATTTTATGTTTGCTGCAATTGGCTGTCAGCTATTCAAGGTAAAAATTTTTATGAAGAAAAACACAATTACAAAACAAAAAACTATCATTTTGTCATTGCTTTTTTATCACCAAATTTTATTGTTTTTGCATGCTACACACACCATCCCTCAAACGAAACAAAATCAAAATCAAAACCAAAAAAAATGGCCACTAATCACGTGTTTATTGTGTGATAAAGAATGTGTGTGTGTTTGTTGATTATAAAGAATTTATCAAGAATCGTCCCAAAGAATCAGTATTTACTAAAAATTTGTTTTAAAATTTAATTTAATTAAAAAAACTTTGCTTTCATTACAAATGCTTTCCATCTTTTTTTCTCTTTCTCTTCTTTTTCCTTTTTCCCATTTCACATCTCCTCACTTATGTGTGTTCCTTCACTCATTCGCACTCATTCAATCAATCAATCAATCAATTTCTTCATTCATGTTACATCACTATATGTCACTTTTTGTCTGTGTTGCACGTGTTTTGTTTTTGTCTAATAAACCTGTGTGTCTGTTGTTGTTGTTGTTGTTGTTGCACGTCACTAACATCTAAATTTGTTCAAAAATTGATACCAAACAAACAAAAAAAAAAAGCTGGTTGTTAAATCAGTATTGGTTGCTATCAAAATGATTGGACAAATTTTAATGGTTACATATTTACTACAATTTATGTTTGCCGTTGTTGCTGTACAACTATTCAAGGTAATATTTATGAATCATATTGTTGTTTCTGTTCTGTTCTGTTCTGTTTTTATTCCCCAATCAATCAATCAATCAATCATCGTACATCGATCAAGCAAAAACTTTTTTTTTAAAAAAAATTTTAATTGAAAAAATGTTTTAATTTCCTTCTTTTGTTGGAAAAAAACAATATCAATCAACTCAACAAGTGTAAAATGTTTGCATGTCATTTCATTTTTTTTTGCCGGAAACTTTTTTTTCCAATCAAAATTCTATATACAGAATCGCTCACACACACACTGTTTATATTCGTCTATTGCTTCATCAAATTCTTTGATTTGCTGATTTTCACTATACTCTTTTCATTTTTTTTTTGTTTTCGCTTTTAAATATGCTTTCAATAATAAATAATGGAAAGCATAAAGAATCAACCAATGAAAAAGGAAAAAAAAATTATTGATTGAATCGTAAAGAGAGAAAGAAAAGATAACTTTTTTTTCCCCATAATATTTTCATCATCCATGTTTTTTTTTTGGCAGTCCAGTTAATTCTTTTGTTGTTGTTGTTATGTAATTAAGAATAAAAGTTTTCTTTGATACTTACTATCCGCCCACTCACACNGTGTTGTTGTTGCACGTCACTAACATCTAAATTTGTTCAAAAAAATTGATACACAAAAAAAAAAAAATAAGCTGGTTGTTAAATCAGTATTGGTTGCTATCAAAATGATTGGACAAATTTTAATGGTTACATATTTACTACAATTTATGTTTGCCGTTGTTGCTGTACAACTATTCAAGGTAATATTTATGAATCATATTGTTGTTTCTGTTCTGTTCTGTTCTGTTTTATTCCCCAATCAATCAATCAATCAATCAATCAATCATCGTACATCGATCAAGCAAAAACTTTTTTTTTTTAAATTTTAATTGAAAAATGTTTTAATTTCCTTCTTTTGTTGGAAAAAAAACAATATCAATCAACTCAACAAGTGTAAAATGTTTGCATGTCATTTTTTTTGCCGGAAACTTTTTGTTCCCGGAAAAATTTCCAATCAATTTTCATTCGTAAATTCATAATACAGAATCGCTCACACACACACACTGTTTATATTCGTCTATGCATCCATGCTTCATCAAATTCTTTGATTTGCTGATTTTCATTATACTCTTTTATTTGCTTAGTTTTTCGCTTTTAAATATGCTTTCCACCATTCAATAATGGAAAGCATAAAGAATCAACCAATGAAAAGGAAAAAAAAAATTATTGATTGAATCGTAAAGAAAGAGAGAGAGAGAGAGAGAGAAAGAAAAGATAACTTTTTTTCCCCATAATATTTTCATCATCCATGTTTTTTTTGGCAGTCCAGTTAATTCTTTTGTTGTTGTTGTTGTTGTTGTTGTTGTTATGTAATTAAGAATAAAAGTTTTCTTTGATACTTACTATCCGCCCACTCACACACACACACACACTTACATAAGAATCATGGATTCAAAACAAAGCTTATTAATAGTTTGATTTTCTTGAATTTGAAGAAAAGAAAAAAAAAATTCATTCATTCATTTGTTTGTCTAAAAGGAGATTATTTTCTTTTGGAAGAAACAAAAAAAAAATCAATTATTTCTTCATAGCCATTCCTCCCACAATATTGGTCATTCAAAACTTTTTTTTCTCTTCTTTTCGGTTGTTGTTGTTGTTGAAATTTTTGTCATTATCAATTCATCATCAACAACGACAAAAAGTTTTCCTGCACTGATCAATCAAATTTTTTTTTTTTTTGGGGAAATTAAAATAGTGATGGACGAATATATCGATGGTTTTTCCCCCCACCTTTTTCACCTTTTCAACTTTCTTTCCTTCATAATCATTGTTTTTTATAAAAAAAAGAGAATTTTTTTTTTGAATTTTTAAAAGAAAAATTCCAAACAACAACAACAAAAAAATGTAATTAAAAAAATGTCATGGTTTTTTTTGCCCTGTGTGCAGTGAAGAAAAAGTTTGTTTGTTTTTCGGTTTTTTCGGTTGTTGTTATTTTGCAAAACTTTTCTTCCTCGGTATAGTTTTCTGGGTAGTTTGAGAAGCGAAAGTGGAAAGTGGAAAGAAAGAAAATCACTTTCGGGTATTAATGTTTTTATTTTCTTCGGAAAATTCCGCACATGAAACACCGCAACACATCATTCATTCAAACAAACAAAAAAAAGTTTAAAAATATTTTTTTTTTCTTACAAATAAATTATCCCGAAGCTAAATCTTTTCTACCTTTATTCAAATCTGGAATTCCAGAAAGAATATTCTGTTTTGTTTTTTTCACCAAAAATTTCATCAATTCTTCTTTCTTAAATGTGTCCAAAATTTACTAAATGTGTGTAATACGCTTTGTCTAATTCTAATTAAATTTGATTGATTCACTTGCATGTTGATTAGCACTTTGCAAACATTTTACTTTTTTGGCAATTGCAACATTTCACTTTCTCACTCGCATCACACACACATAAAATACATTTATCCAGCGATCAATCTATGTTCAATAAATGATTTTCTTTTTCTTTCTTTTTCTCTTTTTCATCGAAACAACAACAAAAAAAGGGTACATTTTTCGAATGTACAGACATATCGAAAAGTGTTGAAGAAGAATGCCAGTATGTATCAATTTAACTGATCACGTGATGCAAATTTTTGTTGATTTTGAAATTTCCATTATTTTTTCACCCTTTCCAATTATATCAGAGGATTCTTCATTTCATATGATGATGAAGGAAATCCAGAAATATTTGAACGTAAATGGGATCGTAATAAATTTCATTTTGATGATATTGGTGCAGCAATGTTAACACTTTGTACTGTATCAACGTTTGAAGGATGGCCAGAGTAAGTTATATTTCAATAAATAATAAAATTTTGAATGAATCAAACTCTTTTTCTTTTGGTTTATTTTCTATCAATTCAATCAGCCTGTTACATCGATCAATTGATTCACATGCAGAAAATTATGGTCCAGTTTATAATAATCGTCCATATGTAGCAATATTTTATATTATTTATATAATTGTTATTGCATTTTTTATGGTCAATATATTTGTCGGGTTTGTTATTGTTACATTTCAAAATGAAGGTGAACAAGAATATAAAAATTGTGAATTGGATAAAAATCAACGTAATTGTATTGAATTTGCATTGAAAGCACGACCAGTTCGTCGTTATATACCAAAAGGTTTGTTCAGAGTTTTTTGTTTTTCCACTATATTTTTTTAATGAAAAATTATTTTACGATGTTCATCTTGATCATCATCATGATGGACATTGACGATTAATAATGAAATTTGATATTAGGATTTTTTTTCCGTTAGAATTAATGAAATTTATGAGAAAAAATATATAAATCACTGAGATAATTTTATTTTGGTCGTTGTTGTTTCTGTTGCACTGTCTGTATTTTACAAACAAAAAATATTAATAAATAATGATCATTACTATGGTCGTTTGTTGTTGTTTTATTTTTTCTTTGCTTTCCGGTGGTGGATTTTTTTTTTGCCATTTTACAACCCGAATGATGTATGGATAATCATCATCATAATGCCAGTTCTATAAATTTTTCTTGGTTATTTTTGATCCACTTGAAACTTACGATGATAATAATTCATAAAGGGCATTTATTTTCCATTTCCGGATTTTTTTGTTGCAAGAATTTTTCCGGAAAAGTTAATGTTGATGATGATGATGACAGGCAAACATCAAATAAATTTAAAAAAACAAAATGTTGAAAAAAAAGACATTTTTGGTTGACCCATATTTTTCTGGTATAATTTTGCAATGTTTTTTTCATGGAAAATCTTTTCTTTTTTTCTTTTCCTCACCACCACCACCATGATAATAATTTTAGCACGTGTCCAATATAAAGTCTGGTGGCTTGTAACATCACATTATTTTGAATATCTAATATTTGCAATGATTCTACTCAATACAATTACATTGGCTATGCGGGTAAGTTGAAAATTATCCATTTTGACGAATACCAAAAACTAACAGAATGAAAATTCTCTTTTTCCTTATATGAAATTATCATCATTATCGAATCAAATTCAAATCAAACTCAAAATCGAATCGGTAGTATAATGATCAACCAGAATCCTATTCATACGTGCTTAATGTTTTGAATATAATATTTACTGCATTATTTACTGTTGAATTTGTTTTGAAATTATTTGCTTTTCGTTTTAAGGTATTTATTTTTATATGGAGGGTTCTTAATGGAAAAAAACTATTAACTTTAATGATATTTGGCTTTCATTTTCAGAATTATTTTGGTGATCCTTGGAATTGTTTTGATTTTTTTATCGTATTAGGCAGTCTAATCGATATTGTTTTTGAACAAATTAATGTTTGTATCTTTCTTTTCTTTCTTTGTTATTTTGACTTTGACTTTGATTTTGTTTTTTTTCAATCAAACAAACCAAACAAACAAACAAAAACAAAATTTAGCCACATGAATCAAAAGGCAAAGCAACTGTACGGCCAACATTTTTACGTTTATTTCGTGTAATGCGTTTAGTAAAATTATTAAGCCGTGGTGAAGGTATACGAACATTGTTATGGACATTTCTTAAATCATTTCAGGTAACTTTAATGACAATCTTTTTTTATTTGTATTTTTTTTTTTATAATGATGAAAAATTCTTTACCTTTTTCTTTTAAATAATTCAGGCACTTCCATATGTTGCTTTATTGATATTAATGTTATTCTTTATTTATGCTGTAATTGGAATGCAAGTATTTGGAAAAATTGGTCTTGATGATGAAACAAGCATAACAAGAAATAATAATTTTCAAACATTTTTTCAAGCAATATTGGTATTGTTTCGTTCGGCAACCGGTGAAGCATGGCAAGAAATAATGATGGATTGTGCCGATACGCATGATGTTAAATGTGATCCTAGATCGGATGAAGGTTCAAAAGATCGTAATGCAAATTGTGGTTCAATGTTGGCTATTCCTTATTTTATTTCATTCTATATATTGTGTTCATTTTTGATTATTAATCTTTTTGTTGCTGTTATAATGGATAATTTTGATTATTTAACACGTGATTGGTCGATACTTGGTCCACATCATTTGGATGAATTTGTACGTTTATGGTCGGAATATGATCCTGATGCTAAAGGACGTATAAAACATTTAGATGTTGTTACATTATTAAGAAAAATATCACCACCACTTGGTTTTGGAAAACTTTGTCCACATAGAGTTGCCTGTAAACGTTTAGTATCAATGAATATGCCATTGAATAGTGATGGTACAGTAATGTTTAATGCAACATTATTTGCAATAGTACGAACAGCATTAAAAATTAAAACCGATGGTAATATTGATGAAGCTAATGAAGAATTACGTGCTGTTATAAGAAAAATATGGAAACGAACTAGTCCAAAATTATTGGATCAAGTTGTACCACCTGCTACTGATGATGAAGTTACTGTTGGAAAATTTTATGCAACATTTTTAATACAAGATTATTTTCGTCGTTTTAAGAAAAAGAAAGAAGAACGTGAACGTATGAATAATCGTGATCTTGAAGATACGGTTGCATTACAGGCTGGCCTTCGTAGTCTACATGAATTTGGTCCGGAAATTCGTCGTGCTGTATCCGGAAATTTGGATGAAGATAATTTTGAAAATGGACCAGATTGGGAACCAATGCATCGTCGTAATCATACTTTATTCGGTAATGTTTGGTCACAATTATCAACAGTAAAATTACGTAAAGCACCAGCTACATTTCATCAAAGTGATGGTAAAGATGATCATGAATTTGTATTTTCACGAGGTAAAAAAAAACTTTGAAAAAAAATTGAAAAAAAATTTTCATTTTTGATCTAATTTCCTATAATAGTACAATCAAATCAACAACAACGTAATGGACGTAATGATAGGTAAGGATTTTTGTTTTCAATCATACAAAATCATTATGATTGTGGTTATTGAATTTTTTATTTTGTTTGCTTCCTTTTTTGTTTTTTCGTTGTTTTCTCGGTTATTGTTTGTTTGTTTGTTTGTTGATTTGCATCTCGTTATGATTTTGATTTTGATTTTTTTGTTTTTCTGTTGATTTTTCATTCATAATTTTATTTTTTTGGTGGTTTGATTTTCATAATTTCATTTTTTTTGCTTTGTTATTCTATATACTCTGTGTGTGTGTGTGTGTGTGTGTATTTTTGCATTTGTTTCATTTTATTTTCGTTTGTCATTTGGTTTTTTTTTCATCCAAAACTGCTGCTTTTTGCTGCTGCTGCTATTTGAACATTTTGCTTTGTAACCGAAAACTATTATTATCATTATCATTATAATCACGCTAATATCGCTACCAACAATAAAAAAAGTAATTATTATCGGATGGAAAATAATGAAAAATTATCGATCAACAAAAATCCTAAAACAATTCATCCACGTTCATTTTATAATGTCACTAAACCTGATGATTATAAATCACGGAAAATTTCCAGCCAAACGTCAACGGTAAAAACTACAGCAACATTGTCACCACCACGTGCACATTCATCATTATTACCTTGTACAAATTATCAACCATATTATCGTCATCATAATCATCAAACTCATCATCCATATTATGTTTATCAATATTATTGTTGTGATAATATCGATTATTATTATAATAATCAAACATATCAAAATATTTCATCATCAACATCAGCTATTGTGCCTTCTGTTTATATTAGTTCATTTGTTGATGATGATGATGATAATCGATCAATAGCCATTAATAATGTTAATAGACAGGAAATTTTCAATAATAATAACAATGATAATTTAATTGATAATAATCAAATAATGATAATGCCATTAGAAAGTATGTATAGTGTACCACCAAGTCCATCAACATTGATACCACCACCGCCATTATTTCGTAATAATGAAAATAATTCAATTATCGATCATCAACCAAGAAGCTCTGAATCAATAATGGAAAATAACCGTATGGTTGAAAATTCATTCAATTTGAATCAAATTAAAACATTAGCTTCATCACCATCGCCAACAACAATAACAACGCATTTACCGCAATCAGCATCAACAACTTCGCTTCGGTATTGAAGTCTGTTTGCATGTTTTTTTTTCATTATCATTTTTTTTCGTTTGTTTTTCGTTTTTGGATTGATTTTTTTTTCGATATCACTGACTATAGATTTTTGCATGCGAAAAGTTTTCCAAATCACTTTTTAGAAAAAAAAAATGAAAATGTTTCCTTTTTATTAAGAAAAAACAAAACAAAATTCCTAATCAAAATTTTTTCCATGTATCCTTGTGTATCAATCAATCAAATCCATTTTATGAAACAAAAAAAGTTTTGAATCACAATTAGAAATGAAAACAGTTGCCGTTATTGTTCATGAAAATGATTTTAATGGTGATAATAATGATGATGATGAACAACATCAACCATCAAACCGATCATTATCATTTAAATCACCACCAGATATTGTTGTTGATATGGAAACATCATCATCATCCACAACATCATCATTATCTGGACAGTCAATATTGAAAGAAATTGATAAAAAGACACTGTCCAATCGAAATGATATTGATCTTTGTTCAATAAATTTATTAGATGAAATGATTATTATGGATCAACAACAACCATTACAACAACAACAAGAAATGCCAAGAAAATTATCAAATTCATCCATAAGACGTCGTCTTTCGGGTTGTTTACGTAAACAGGATAGTCATGAATGTCCAATATTGAATGTTGATAATGATAATGTTGATGATGATGATGATGATGGCGATGATAATGATAATAAATCGACAACAACAACAACAACAACAAAACAAGAACGAAAATTAAGTTGGTATCGACGTGCAAGTAAAATTATTAATCGACAAAGATCTGTTAGTGAAGATCATGGTCATCATCAATCATCAAAAACAACTAAAACAAAAAAATCTGCTTCAACATCAAATTTTGAGCTACCAAACATTGTAATAGCACCAGGGCAATGTCGTTATTCATTTTCGATTGGTGATAATAATCGTGGTGATGGTAGTGATTCAACAATATTTTCACATTCATCACAACAACAACCGCAAGAACCAAAATTACCAAGAAATCGTAATATGGAAATATCATCATTACTAACCAATGCTTCGAAACGCTTTCTAACCGCTTCATTCAATGATCTAATGTTAGTGCCTTTTCATTCAACAACAACAACATCATCATCAGCATCATCATTGATGACAACAGCAAATTTACAGTCAAAATCATTTCTAAATAAACCACCACCACCACCACCACCACCACCAAAAAAATCACGTAGTAAATCATCATCATATACGGATGCATCAATTTTAAATAATAATCGACAACAACGATTATCATTACCACGGCCATCAACATCTAAATCAATTAATATTGTACATTCCGATAGTAATTTAATACTAATCAATAATAATCATAATAATCATAATAGGAAACCATTTGATGATAATGGTGATGGTAAAACTGGTAAAACTGGTGATAAAAAACAACAATCCGGTGCTGTTGATGCATTAGTTGATCGTATATTAAGGGAAGAAGGTCTTGGTAAATATATTGATTCAGCTGTAATTCGTGCTGCACAACAAGAATTGGCTGAAGTTTGTGATTTAACACCTGAAGGTTTGATTTTTTATTTATTTGATGTTTGTTTCGGTTAAAAAATTTCGGTTTTTTCTCTTCTCTTTCCTTTCTCCTTACAGAAATGGATCGTGCAGCACAACGTCTTTTACAATTGGAACAAAGAGCTCGTAATAACCAGCAACACCAGCAACAATCAACGAATAAATCATCATTAAATAATGAAATGAAAAAGAAATAATGTTTGAAAACAAAACAACAACAACAACAACAACAAAATTTCTGATCAAAAATCATCATCTGTCAAAGATGAAAAATTTGCCTTTTTTTTGAAACATCGATTTTCTTTTCTTTTGGAAAAACACGAATTTTTAAAAAACAAAACTTTTTTCTTCTTCTTCTTCTTCAATGCTGTGATAGATTCTTTTCTTTGTTTTTTTGGAAACAAACAAACAATTCATTTGCGACAACAGTGCGCAAAAGCAACATCACTTTGGATTATTATTTTTTTTGTTATTCAACACATCCTAATCATCCTAATCATCAACAATGACAAACAATATCAGAATGTAATTTACACCCTGAAAACATCACCATTTTAGTGTTTAGAATCACTGAAACATTTTAGTTTAGTTATTTTGGTTATTTTGTTTTTTGTTTTGTTTCATGTATCGTCTTTAGCTGGGAAATTTGTTTTGTTTTGTTTTTATTTGAAAATCAAATTTGTGCCTTCAAAATCAAATTTTTTTTTTTGCTTTTTTGTTGTTGTCCAAAGCAATTCAATTTTCATTAACAAAAAAAAATCTATTTAATCATTGAATTAAAAAAATTTTATTGAAAAAAAAGATTTCAAAGATTTCAAAAAAGTAAAATTTTTCATTTTTGTCTGTTTTGAGAATTGGGATCATTTGATATGATTGATTGGGTTAATTGGTGGTTAATTTTTTCGATTTTCGGTATTTCTGTTTGTGTGTGTGTGTGTGTGTGTTATTATCGTCGAACATTTCGATTATTTCGGGATGGTACATGACAAATTAGATAGCTGTGATTTCCACCACAATAATTAAAACAGCCATTTCTTCTTTTTTTTGGACATAATTCTGTTTGGTGATTATCGATAAGAAATCTGTATAACAAAGATTCTTTTCTTCTATAAATCTGTTTTCTTTCTTCAATCGTCATATCAATTTCTTCGCATTATTATTCTTTGGTAATTTTGTCTCTTTCTCCAGTCAAAAATCATTAGTTCTGCGTCTTCCATGAATACATGGATACGTTCTGGCTTTCCAGACAAATTATATGATTTATCCGCAATTACCCGTGGGAACTTATTACAGATTTCATAGAATAATTCCTGTTCTAAGAATTCTTGATGATCTGGGTCTTCACATATTTGATTGTATCGGTTTCTTATTATTCCCAGATTACTCATCATTTTATCAATTTGGCTCGGGTCCTTAATGTTTGGTAGCTCCGCAATTTCTTTCAGGAAATCTTGTTTTACCACCCACGGGTCACAATATTTTTGCATTAATATGGAATATGCATATTCGTAATTATGATCTATGCCTGCGATCAGATCGCGACTCATGTTATCCAACTTTTTTTTCAAACATATCAACTTGATTTCGTCGATTGCAGTGGTTGTGCCTACTGCAGCATCAAATAATTTTATAAATGACAAAAAATTGCTTGATTTTCCATCGAATTGTGGTATCATGTCCATACAATCACAATCGAACGAATTCTTGGGATCTACTGGAGGTACTTTGATAGGTCGGCCATACGAATCTTTTATCACGTTTGATGACGTTGTAGCTGATGATGCAGATGTTTCTGCTAATCTTTCTGTGATGGCGAGAAATCCCATATATTGCGTCAACTCTTTAGTAGGTAGTGTTGATTGATCCTTTTTCAAATCCATCTGACTAATGCTGTTATTTGTTGCCGTTGTTCTATCAATAGTAAGTTGTATCCGATCCAACACTTTTAGGAAAACAATGGTTATCTGTTTGTAGATTTCAAGAATAAATTTTATTTATTCACAAGATTATAATTACACACACAAAATATTACAAAGATTCGCTGCGCATTCGATGATTAAAAAATGCTCACTTACAAAAAAAAAAAGATTGACTTCGAATGATGATTTGGCAGAACTTTAAATACAGTGGTACCTCGGTTAACGACGATGATCGTTTCCTGAAAAACCGTCGTTAACCGAAATGTTCGTTAACCGAGATACAATGCAATACTTGTTTTTTAATCATCGTTAACGGTATTCTGACCGAAATCGTTAACCTAAAATTTCGTTAACCGAGGTACCACTGTATAATTTTGCTAGCCTTAGCTTCACCATTCAACAATTTCTGCCATTGATGCAAAAAGCTAGCGTCGTAGAGGTTGTCTTTTATCCTGTTTTATTATTTTTGGCCACATGTTTTGGCATTATGGCTCTCTCGATGTCTTTTTTCTCAGCCTGTTTGCATTTTCTAATTCGAATTATAATGGTCATAGAAATGGTGTTCCGTTTTTATGTCCTTGGAAATCTGATATGATGGCAAAAATATAGCAAAATAATCGAATAGAGTTCAACCAGACCCTGGGACCAAAAAGCCAAAAATTAAAAATCTTTGCTTATTTCTAAAAAAATAATGGACAATGACAACAACAAGAGCAATTTTATTGATCAAATTACAAAGTCACAAAGCAAACATAACACACACACACTTAAATATAAATTTAAAAAAAAATTGTTGTTGTCGTCGTTTCAAACCAAAGATGTTTCTTTAAAATGAACTTTTCTTTCAATTTTTGTTCGTTTATTACTATCATCATCATTATCATCATNGATTGATTGGGTTAATTGGTGGTTAATTTTTTCGATTTTCGGTATTTCTGTTTGTGTGTGTGTGTGTGTGTGTTATTATCGTCGAACATTTCGATTATTTCGGGATGGTACATGACAAATCAAATAGCTGTGATTTCCTCCACAATTAAAACAACCATTTCTTCTTTTTGGACATAATTCTGTTTGGTGATTTTCGCTAAGACATCTGTAACAAAGATTCTTTTCTTCTATAATCTGTTTTCTTTCTTCAATCGTCATAGGACATTCACGTGTCAAATGTTGTCTTGCACAGAATCGACATTCTTTCGCATTGTTATTAAACTTTGGTGATTTTGTTGTTTTGTGATTTTGTCTCATTTCCCAGTCCATAATCATTAGTTCTACGTCTTTCATGAATACATGGATGCGTTCTGGCTTTCCAAGCAAATTATTTGATTTATCCGCAATTACCCATGGGAACTTATTACAGATTTTATAGAATAATTCCCGTTCTAAGAAATCTCGATGAACTGAGTCTTCACATAGTTGATAGTATCTGTTTCTTATTATTCCCAGATTTCCTATCATTTCATCAATTTGGCTCGGGTCTTCAATGTTCGGTAGCTCAGCCATTTCTTTTAGGACATCTTGTTTTACCACCCACGGGTCACAATATTTTTCCATTAATATGGCATATGCATATTCGTAATTATGATCTATGCCTGCGATCAGATTACGACTCATGTTATCTAACTTTTTTTTCAAACATATCAACTTGATTTCGTTGATTGTCGTGGTTGTGCCTACTACATCATCAAATAATCTTATAAATGACAAAAAATTGCTTGATTTTCCATCGAATTGTGGTATTATGTCCATATGATCATAATCGAACGAATTCTTGGGATCTACTGGAGGTACTTTGATAGGTCGGTCATACGAATCTTTTATCATGTTTGATGACGTTGTCGCTGATGATGCAGATGTTTCTGCTAATCTTTCTGTGATGGTTAAATATCCCATATATTGAGTCAACTCTTCAGTAGGTAGTGTTGATTTCTCCTTTATCAAATCCATCTGACCAATGCTGTTATTTGTTGCCGTTGTTCTATCAAATGATGTATAGTAAGTTGTATCCGATCCAACACTTTTATGAAAACAATGGTTATCTGTTTGAAGAATAAATTCTATTTATCATCAAGATTATTATTACACACACACAAAATATTACAAAGATTTGCTGCGCATTCGATGATTAAAAAATGCTCACTTGCAACAAAAAAAAAGAGTGACCTCGATTCATGAATGATTTGGCTGAACTTTAAATAATGATTTTGCTAGCCGTATGCTTCACCATTCAACAATTTCTGCCATTGATGCCACCAAGCTGTCGTAGAGGTTGTCCTCCTCTGTACTGTTATTTTTTATTTTTTTTTGGCCATCTGTTGAAACATGTTCTCATTCATATGTATGTTTTGACATTATGGCTCTCGCTTGATTTCTTTTTTCTCAGCCTGTTTGCATTTTCTAATTCGAATCATCAATGGTCATAAAAATGGTGGTGTTCAGTTTTCATGTCCTTGGAAATCTGATATGATGACAAAAATATAGCAAAATAATCGAATAGAGTTCAACCAGACCCTGGGACCAAGAAAAACCAAAAAATAAAAATCTTTGCTTATTTCTTTAGAAAATAATGTATGCAATGACAATGACAACAACAAAAACAATTTTATTGATCGATCAAATTACTCTAAATTACAAAGTCACAAAACAAACATAACACACACACACACTTAAAATATGAATAAATTAAATAAAAAAAAATTGTTGTTGTTGTCGTTTTCAAACCAAAGATGTTTCTTTAAAATGAACTTTTCTTTCAATTTTTGTTCGTTTATTACTATCATCATCATTATCATCATTATTATTAGTAGTATTATTAGATTTTACTACTAATGATGATGTTGATATCCATTGTAAACGTTCTTCACGTTCAATACGTCTTTTAGCAATATATTCTAATTTTCCATTATTTGCAAAACGACGAAATACATTTGTATTATCGTTATATGTTGTTGTTGTTGTTGATCGTTTATTATTATCTTTATTATTATTTACATAATAATAATAATCATCAACATTATTGTTATTATAAATCAATTGTAAACCAAATGTACCGAAACCAATACCAACTTGTATACGATCTTTTATATCCCAAATAGTCATATGTTTTGTCATTGCATAATAATTATCCAATACAATCAATGTCATCATTAATGATGGTATTATATGGATTAGATCATTTAATTCGATTGAATCTTGTACATGTTCATCATCTTCTTTACAAAGATTTAGATCATATTTAGTTAAACAAAATTGATGTTTCATTACTAATGATAATTGTAATGATTTCATAAATAATGTTTGATAATATAATTCATTCATATTGATCATGTTTAAATCAATTGATTTCGATAAACGAAATAACATATTATAATAGGCAAATAATGGATATGGACAATATTCTGCACGTTTCAATAAATGATGATATGCTTGTGATATTGAAAGACGAGATAATTGTATAACATTACGTATTGGTAATGATGCAAATATATCATAACAAATTGCCATTTGTTGATCATTCTGTACCATTGATTCGGCCAAACATTTTGGTGATAATAAACATATTTTTGAATGATGTTTATTTGACATTTCTAAACAAATTTTATCACAATAAACAACCTCTGTACATTTATCACATGGAAATAATCGATAACCAAGACGACGTTTACAATTATCACAGAATTTATATTGATATTGTTGTCGAATATCAATCGATGGTAACATTGTCATCATCATTTCATAGAAAATTTTTTCATTCATTTCAATTGTTCGTCCGGCAATTAAATTTCCATGATCATCGATCAATACTTTTGAATCGGTAAATATATTGCTATGATTCAATTTTTTATCTGGCTACAAATTAATAATGTTGTGTTTCAAAAATGAAATGATTTAAATTAAATAATTTTCAACACCACAAACCAACACATACCTTATCCGGAATATGAATATCATGAATTTTTTTACGTAATCGATCAAATTTATCATATTCATCATTTGCTGTTCGAATATTCAACTGTCCATAAACATAATTCAAATCTTTTTGATATTTTTTTAAATTCATTCGAGATAGTATTTTTAATTTTTGTAAAAAATATTCAGATTTTTCTAAATTTATTAATGCATATTTTCTACCAAGAAAATCTTGATCATTCAATGCTTTTGTTGCCAATCGATAAAAACTAATTATAGAATATTTTAATAATTTCCAATCATCATCATCATTTTGATCATTATTCTGATCATTAATCGTTGATCGTTGATCAGGTTTATATGTTAATAATAACCATTCTAAATCATGTGATGCATTAACATAATCTCGATTTTCAAAAAATAATGTTGCACGTTTTCGTATTGTTTTTCGAAGATTATCATGATTATCATCAGTGTTTGATCCGTAAATCATTGCCTAAACACATACATAACAAACAGAATTTTAGAATTTCCCTATAGGGAATCCTGTTTTTTAAATGTATTACTAACCTGATTAATATGCGAAAGTGTTGTATGATAATCATTATGTTTATTTTCAATACCACAATTATAATATTGAATTGCTTGACTATTATTTTTTCTATTCATTTCTTTTACTTTATCTATAAATCGTTTGACATCATGATCGATTGTTTGAAACTTTTTTGCTAATGATCCGTTAATGTTATCATCACCATCAGCATCACCATCAGAAGCATCAGTATCAGCATCATCACATTTGATTTTGTTGAAAAATTTATTCAATACAATGTTGAAAGTGATTTTTTTTTCATCATCACCAATAACATCATCATTATTCTCATCATTTCCATTGTTGTTGTCAGTATTTTGATCGATAATTTTTGTTGTTGCTGCTGTTTGTCGTATAATATTTTCGATATTTGTAAATGAAAAATTATGACGATCAAATATTCCTTGTAAACTTTTATCCAAAGATTCGTTGTTGCTTTTGTTGTTGTTGTTGTCGTCGTTGTTTACATTTTCATGTGAATGACCAAATTCAAGATTATCTTCTTCACACAAACATTTAGCCGTTTGATTGTCAAGTTTTTTATCATTCAATAAATCATCATCAACAGCATCAGTAGTGGTTGTTATAATTCTCAACGTTTGTAAATTGGACATGATTCCAAAAGAAAGAAAAAAAGATTTAACCCAGAAACAAAACAAAAAAACAACGAATAATAATAATAATAATAATAGTTAGCGAATGACTTTGCTTTTTATTTAATTTTTATAATTTGAAATTCACTTTGTATTATTGAATTTATTTTTTTGTTCAAAAAAAAAATTCTAATTCTAATTTTAATTATCAAAGAAAAATTTTGTTATCATTGATTAAATTACAAAGGAAAAAAATAAAAATTTGAACCAAATGCTGCCATCTATAGTTCAATGTGGTTAGTTTGAATAAATTTGAGAATTTTTTTTTCGTTTTTTTATATTACAAAAAAAATTAAATTTCTTTTTTCGTTTTGTTTCAAAAGAATTTTGCAATTAATAATTAGTTATTTAATGTTCGATGGATTCTAAAATATTTTCGGATTGCATTTTTTCATCACATTGATTATCATTTGTTGTTGTTGATCTAGATTTTTGTTCTTTAAGCATATGAGATTCTAATAAATGATCTTTGGCATTGGTCATTTCGGAATCATCATTTCCATTATTCGATTGTTTATCACCAATTCGTAGATTTGTATTGGATTTTTTTCCAGATCGATTAAGATCAATATTTTGATTTTCTAAAAGATCATTTGAATTTGTACTGATTGCTGTTTGCATTGAGAATGAAGAAAAATCTCTTGGTATTCCTCCACTGCCAATACTACCGCTATAATTTAGATATCCATGGCGACCTTGTTGTTGTTGTTGATTATAAGCATATGGACCATAATGATCAAAATGTAATCCACCACCGGTAAAACTACCAATACTACTGGCAAATTCATCTTCATTTTCAATTTCATCATCAATTTGTGGTCGATAAGAAAAATTAACAGCACCACGAACACCCGAATTAAATAGATTTGTTGGACGTGTTAATGGTACAATTGGACGATTAGGATTATGTGTAGATTCAACACCAACAGTTGTTGTTACTAATGCTGATGCAACCGAATTTGTTGTACCGGCAGCTAAAAATGGTGATAAAAATATGAAATAAACCAATGGTGTGAAGAAGGTAAAATATAAATATGTTGTTGCATCAACAATACATAATCCTTCAGCAACATTCAAAAAGAATAATAATGCACCAATTGCTTGTATTAAATTGAGCGATGATAATGTTGCTGCATAAAAATAGAATGATCTTTTTGCTAAATGAAATCATTAATTATTTAATCATATTTTGTGTTTATATTATTATAGAATAAATTGGTAACTTACTTGGTAATAAAAGACGATGACGACATGGTGACCATGGTAACAATACAACAATTAAATAAATAAAAAATGAAAGAAAACAAGTACCAAACCAGAATATCATACCACCATGACCAAATAAATAATATGATTTTGAATGTATATAGAATGATGCATCAGGTGAAATAATTTCAAATGAACCTTGACATATTGAATAAACTAATGATATAATTAATGTTATTGTCAATATACGTCGTATTGATTGTCGAACATCAAGATGGCCGGCAAATAAACCAAATACAAGTACAGATATTTCTGTTGAAAGAAGAAAAAATCGTACAATCACCCAGAATATCTAGTAGAATATAATGAGTGAAAAAAAATTAGTCGAGCAATACTTTAAATCAAATAAAATAATAATAACCTTATCGGTAAGATCACCACCAAATGTATGAACTTTCATCAATGATGAAATAATACAACGTATCATTGAAATAATAACACATAAATAAATAAATATATAGAAATTTCTTAATATTGGAAAATTTTTCAATTGTCGTACACGATCTTTAGCCGATTGTGAATGCCATATTAGATATAAAAGAAATAGAATATTTGGAATAAATATAATCAGGTCCCATATATGAATGCTATGAATAATAAAAAAAATTGAAATTATTTTTAGTAAAACTCTGTTTAATCAATTCAATTATCAAATACCTTGTATCGTTGATTTCTTTATAAAGAATAACTTTACAAATATGTAAATCATCAATAAATATATCATGATTATTAGTAATCAAATTGGTCATATTTGAATTTAAACGATGTAATAAATGTACATCTTTATTATTGGGTATCATCATCATCATTGATGATGATGATGATAATTGTTTGTTATGATTATTCATGATTAATACATCTAAATGAAATGAAGATTTGGATTCGTAACAAACAACAAAAAAATAACCTAAAATGTATCCATTGAATGTTTTCAATTTGTTACACAGTTAAGAAGCCAGTTGAATAACAACAACAAAGATCGAGTCGCCATTCGAACACAAAAAAAATCAACCGAGATGATTATCTTTCGATTCAGATCGAGAAAACAACAACAGAAACAGAAATTCAATCTTTTTTGAATTTTTTTTTCTCTGAAAATTGATTCCAAATATTGATTTTTTTAAATAAAGAGAATTTGTTTCGCACAATTCTTTAATATTCTTTTTTCTCTCAAGAATCTAATAACAAAACAAAACAAAAAAAATCCATCCTATCATTTATGTATGGCTCTTTGTTATTGTTATAAATGTTTATGCTGCTCTTTTTTATCATTGTTGCTAATACGACGACAACAAACAACAAACAAAACGATCATTGCGTTTTAATCCAAAGAAGAAAAAAATCCAAACAAATATTATGAAAAAAGAAGAGAGAAAGAGACAAATAGGCAGCAAAATATACGCCGTCACCAGAAATTGAATGCCAAAAAAGAAAAATATTGTTATCATTTTTTTTTTACATAAAAGGGTGGTAGAAGTCTTGATCAAAGTTTGTTTTGATTCGAAAATTTTTCTGTTTTGTTTGATTTCATCATAAATACGATTCCAAAAAAAAAAGAAAAAACATCTGTCCTGATCTAATTTCTTTATTGGAGCGAAAATATTTGTTTGTTATCATCATATAATTATCGTCGTAGTTAATGATTTTCATCATCATCCTCACTGAAAAAATATATGAATGATTAATCTGGTGACTAAACGAACACCAACATTTCAAAGAAAAAATCATCGAAAAAAATATATTTTAGCATATTGATTGATTTCATTCGATTAGTCATCCTTATTGAATTAATTCCTGTTTGTGTGTGTGTCTATGTGTTTTGTTGTTGTTGTTGTTGATTGATTGACTTGTTGTTATTGTTGCCTTTTTTTCCGGTTATTAAATTTTCAAAATAACAATCGTTTCTTTTTAAAAAATAAATCAGGTATTTGTCTGTTTATGTGGGGGTGGGTGTCACATTACAATTTATCAATTTAAATCGAAAAAAAAACAAACTTTTTATGAAATCCATCATTCGATTCGATTAATTGCGTGCATCTGAAGCTATCGAAATTTCCAAAAAAAAATCTATAGTTTTTCTTTTCAGATGAATTTCTTTTCGAAATATATTTTTTTTTCTGTTGTACTGAATGAATCAACCCACAAAACAATTTTTTTACTATTGATGTTATGTTTGCCCCCCCAACCAAAAAAAGTTATAGTTTTTTATTGATAGCTGATTGATTGATTAGTCGATTGATGGTTATCAATTTAAAAAAAAGAAGAAAAATTTTTTTTCCTATTTGTGGTGGTGGTGGTGTGTTTTTTTTAAACAATTTTTTTTTGCATATTTGAATGAGCAGGCAGTATACAAAATTGATTGGCTAATTTGTTTTTGTTTTTTTCTGCTTTCAAGTTGAAATTCTGGTCATCATCATTATCAACATTGTCGTCACATTTATCTTTTTCATTATTTCATCATTTGAAAAAAATTGATTGATTTCAAGCCACAAGCTTTGATTTTATACGTTTCGTCGAGGTAAACGAATAAGAAAAAGAAGAATGGCATCACGTAAAAAAGCATTGTTGAAAGTAATCATTCTTGGTGATAGTGGGTATGTTTTTTTGAGAATAAAAAAAAATTTGTCCTTTCAAATCAATGAATTTCCTGGTTTTTGTTTTCTGCTTTCTTCTGTACAGTGTTGGTAAAACATCATTGATGAATCAATATGTAAATCATAAATTCTCCAATCAATATAAAGCAACTATTGGTGCAGATTTTCTCACCAAAGAAGTAATTGTTGATGATCGTCTTGTTACTATGCAGGTAAATGATGATTGTATTTGGTTTGTAATGGAATGTAAATGATTTTATTTGTTGATTGAATTTTTTGTTTCATAGATCTGGGATACTGCAGGACAGGAACGATTTCAATCATTGGGCGTTGCATTCTATCGTGGTGCCGATTGTTGTGTACTTGTTTATGATGTAACATCACCTGGTTCATTTAAATCACTTGATTCATGGCGTGATGAATTTTTGATTCAAGCATCACCACGTGATCCGGAAAATTTTCCATTTGTTGTTATTGGTAATAAAGTTGATCTGGATAATCGTGCTGTAAGTTTGTTTTTTTTGATTGACTTGAAATAATTTTTGATTAATTTTGTTTTCCTCCTTGTTACAATTATCAAAGGTTTCATCAAAACGTGCACAAGGATGGTGTCAAAGTAAGAATAACATTCCATACTTTGAAACGAGCGCAAAAGAAGCTATTAATGTTGATCAGGCATTCTTAACTGTTGCCAAAAATGGTTTGGCCCAAGAAACTGAAGTTGAATTATATAATTCAGAATTTCCAGATAAAATTAATCTTTCACAGGATCAAAGCCAACAACGAAATGATAATTGTGCTTGTTAATGTAAATGAAACAAACAAACAAAAAAATTAGAACATACATACACATCTCACCACTATCCATATACACATTTATTCGAATTGATGATCATTGTTATTAAAAAAACAACACAGAAAAGTTGATTTTACCAATTTTCAGAAAAACAACAACAAACAATAACATCATACTATTATTATAATCATGATGATATTAATCTATCAATCAATCTTTTCTTTTCTTTTTTTTTAATTTTAAACTATTTTTGCATGCATAAGCGATGATAAGGAGAAAAAAAAATTTGTCTTTCTACAATATATTATGTAAATCTTTTTTATTTCAAAGTAAGGAAATTTTCCCATTATAATTTAAACAAACAAAAAATTAAAAGAAGGACGACAACAATCTTCGATTCGATTCGATTCGATTATTTTTTTTTCTCACACACACAATCGATTATATCGATTCGAATTATAAATAATTTGATGTGTATTCGTCCATCACATATTATTTCCTTCATATAATATAAAAATCGTAATTATTATTCAATTACTCAAAAAAAATGATAATAATCAAATTCTCATAAAACAACGATGATTGGTTCATTTTTTTACACTTAGTTACAACGAAAAAAAAATCTTAATTTCTGTAATAAAATCATGAAAATATTGAAAATGAATGAAAACCGATTAATAAAAGAATTTTGAATGTCTATAAATTTTTTTGCCAAACTGAAATATACCGTTTGTTTTTCCTGCATATTTTTTCCAATCATCATCGATCGAACAACAAGTGGTTGATAAAAAATTTTCCGCATTATCATTCAATCGACAAACAAACTAAAAAAAAAAAACATCACTATCATCAGCAAATACTATATGCAACCACCACCACCACCACCGCCACCACTGATGTTGATGAGAACATTATAAACAGTTACATTGCTTTCAATGTATCCTATCGCATCATCATACGTTTTACATTGATGATGATCAATTGAGGCACTTGATTGTTAACTAAAATGTGCATATATCAATACGCATTATAAACATTTTCATTTGTTTACCATCATCATCATCATTAGATTTGTGGATTTTTGGGCAGCTTATTGAGCCAATAAAAATGTTGCCAAACATCGACTTTAGAGAAATCATCATGAATCGGTGAAATTGTATTATGTATTTTTTCTGGTTGTAATTTTAAAATTCCATTTTCTCGGAAAAAACAAAACAACAAAAATCTGTCATCATCGTCATAATCCATATTTGTTTGTGATTTTTGATTTGTTTTCTCTTCTAAAAATAACATTTGACAATCATGCCATCCTTATTATATAATTGTTTTAAATATTTTCTTTACATGACTTGTAGTGTTTTATTAATTTTTTCTTTGATATTTATTTTACAATCCAAATTACATGCATCATCACAATCATCATCGTTAACAACATCTAAATCTATTGCTGTTAATGAAACTATTGAATATCGTACTGATCATCAGATTGTAAATCCTGACCTGAATCTAATCGATATAACCGAAAATGTACAGAATTTAAATTATGAAAATTTTTTCCATACATCACGTTCAAAATTTCTTGCACCCGAATCAATTCATCTGCCATTTAATCCACCATCAACAATTGAAAATATATCGGCAATACCAATTGCATATGGTGATTTTGATTCAGATAAATATACTGATATATTTATGCTTGGTAATAATGGTAAAAGTTTACATTTATTAAAAGGACATTCATGTGTTGATGGTAAAACTGTATTAACATTTTTCGGTTCAAGACGTTGTTTATCGATTGTACAGAATTTTCATTGTCATCTAAAGGAAAATATTTATAATTTAGCTGCATCTGATTTTACCGGTCGTATGCATCAAGATCTATTGATTACGGTAGAAAATCAATCACCGATATCGAAATATAATATTATACTAGTCTATGGTAATACAACAGCCGAAGAATTTAATTGTGATCAGCAAATAATTTTAATTGAAAATGCTTCAAGTGAACCATTTATTTTAGGTAAGTAATTTTTTTCTGTGTTAAATTTCTAATTTTATCTGATTTTGTTTGATAATTTCCAAAATTTTAGATTATGATGGTGATATGATCTCAGATTTTATTGTTGAAACTTTTGATTGTCCATTACAGTTGGTACTTGGTGGTAAATTTGATAATTTAGCCGAAATCAAATCAAAACGTTTTATTTGTCTATCGAATCTAACTAGAATTCAACATTTAGCAAGTCCACATGCAAGTGCATTTGTTAATCTTAATTCTTATCTAATCGATATGACACCCGATCTATTTATAAATGGTGAAAGCAAATTTGAATATATTTACAACATTCCACAGGAAGGTTTTCAACCAAATCAAAATGGAAACAATCTTCATTCATTTCCAAATGTTGGATTACGGGGACAATCATCATTTGTTGATTTAAATTATGATGGAAAATTAGAACATTTAATTCCAGTCTGTTTGGATGATGTTAAATCATTTGCTGATTGTCAACAACCAAATCTAATGGTTTTCGATACGGATACGGGTGATTGGTTTCATATATTGAACACAACCGAATCATTGGGTGCTCAATTCAATCGTACATTAACATTTATCGATGCAAAGTTTTATAATTATATTGAAATTCCGGTTACATTACATATTGGTGATATTGATTATGATGGTTATCCAGATTTTGCAACCATATTACAAGATGTTCAAACTAAAAAAAATGTAGCAGCAATATTTTTAAATAAATTGCTTAACGGTTCACAGAATACATGGAATCGTATTTTCGAATTAGAATGGATCGGTGAATATACGGAAAATGTTCGTATGGTCAGTTTATTCGATATTTTTAATAATGGCAGATTAAATTTATTGATTACTACCGAAGATTCTACTACAAATCAATTAACATTACAAGCATATGATTATTATTTTGAAAAATCACTTTATTTTAGTTTTCTTCGTGTTAATGTTATTTCTGGTTTATGTTCAGATAAAACTGAAGATCATAAATGTCCAAATCATCTTGCATATGGTAGTACACCACCCGGTGCAATGGTTTGTTTTGCTGGTCCATATTCCAATGATCATTGTTGTTCAGTACAGATGAGTCAAAGTGCACATTTTGCATTACAACCACCATATATAATATTTGGTTTAGGTGATGTATTGAATGTGATCAATGATTTATCCGTATCGATTGCTAATGGTAAAAATCCAACACGTGTACGTATATGGAATGAAATTATACCTGGATCAAAATTAGTTATCGTACCATTCGAACCGGATCAATTAAAAAATTGGGAATTACGTGTTTTTATCAATATGAGTATTTATTCATTGGTTGCATTATTATTTTTATTTGTACTTGGACTAATATTAACATGTGCCATTTCTATTCTACATTTTCGTGAAAAAGTTGAAGATCGTGTTGATAATCAACAATATCGTAATGCATGGCTATAATGTTTTAGTAAAAAAATTGTGTAATTATTTTAATTAAATTAGTATTTTTTTTTGTATGCGGAACATTTTTTATAAATAAATAAATTTTTTCAAATCAAAAAACAAACAAAAATTGGCGCCAATTTTCAATAAAATTGCTGTTTTCAAATAACATTGATAGATGGCGTTAGTGGTTAGATTTGATTTATCTATTTTATAAATGATAAATTCGAATGTTTTTGTTTTCCGGTGTCACAAGGTTTTAAGTTGTTAAATTATTTAAAATACAAAAAAATACAAAATAGATAAATTCAAACCAAATTCATTATAATTATGTCAACATTTAACGATATAAAATGATAATAATAATGAGTGAAAAAAACCAAACATCATCCTCATGACAATAACCTTACGGTATGTATTTTGCAACTTTTATTTAGCTTCAACAACGAAATAAAAATCCATTGGTCCCTATGGTCTTAAAATGATGATGACTATGATTTTTTGTTGTTGTTGTTGGTAGAGTTTTAATATTAATTGAACTTACCACAATGAAATTAATGTTGCTTATTAATATTAATAACATTTGAGACTTTTAGTGGATTTTCTCCTAGTTTTCACAGCTTTTTTTTTGTATAATAAACTATCAAAATTACAATTTTAACCACCAAACAAGCAAAAAAAAAATCCAATGAAAAATAATGTCTATAAATTGGTTGAAATTTAGTTTGTGTGAGAATTACTTTTACAACAAAAACAACAAAGAAATCACCAAGAGATCATCAACATAATCAACAACAACAACGAAACGAAAAAATCCAAATATAAACAGATATCATTAATTATGAATGATGGATGAGAGAGAGAGAGAGAGAGAGAGAGAGAGAAAAAAATAAACTACATCATTAACATGCAAGTTTTCAATGAATTAAATTATTAAAATCAAACAATAACAACATCAACGAAATCTGAATGAAAACTAATCATCATCATCATCATGGTGATAACCGTAAAACAAAATGATTTAATTTAATCAGAAAGTGAAAAAAAAGCTAATCATTTTCAACCAAAAAATCTTATTATCTAATCAAACAGCATCATTATCTTATAGTTTGGTTAAAAAAAAAGAAAATTGAATTTTCTAACAAAGAAGAAAATTAAATGAAACAAAAAATTACTATGAAACACCATAGGTGAGAAAGAGAGAGAAAAGTGTTAATAATTTCTACAGAATCAACAACAACAACCAAAATCTATTATAATTATAATGAAATTTGTAAAACAATCCTGAACATCTGTTTGCACACATCACAAAAAAAGTCAATGGTAAAAAAGGATAACCTATTTCTCTCTTCTTCATATGATAGGAACGAGAGAAAAAACCCTATATATAAATTCCCTTGATGAATTGTAATGACGATAATAATCATGATGATGATGATGATGATGATGGTTATGTTCGTTTACCATCATATTAGTTCATTTTGATGATTTTAAAAACTTCATTTTTATATTTATTATCATCATTTTCTAGTTTGCAGTTAAACATTAATTGGCTCAATTCAATATTCACAGTTTTACTTTTGGTTGGTTCATTTACTGAAAAGAAATTTTCTGGTAAAAATAAATTCTTTACCAACAGCAACCACAACAACATAGACACAAGATTATCATTATTATTGTATATATATGAAAATGAATAATTTAAAATGAAAACAGATTGGCGACAGATTTATAAATGATTCATTTTTATCATCATCATCAATTTTTTTTAGTCCAAGTGTTTTTACAAACAAGTAAAAAAAGTAAAATTATATTTAATACCAGAATTCGTTTCTCTTCTTTTTTGTGGAAATCAAATTCACAAGAGAATTACTGAAATGTTTATTTAGAGATGAAAATGAACAAACCACCCACCCACACACAATCCAAAAATTGACCATTTTTTTGATTGGTTTCGAATGAATCGATTTTATTTTACAGTGGCTGTTGATTGGTAATTGGATTGAAAATGATGAAACATCATTTAAAAAAATAAACTGATCAAATCTATTATTAATGATGATGATGAGAAATCCAAGAATTCAAAATCATTTTAGTTAATTTCCAATTTTTCCTATGAAAAACATTGAGAAAGATAATTTGGTTTTTTTCAATGTTTTTTTGGTTTTGGTTCTGGTTTGTTTTGCTTTATTTTGATTGTTCCCACATGTTACGTTTTCGTTCGTTTGTACGTTTTCAGATATTCAAATTTGTTTTTTTTAATTTGAATATTTTCTCTATGCAAATAAGGGTATCTTTTTTTCTTTGTTTGATTAACTGTGTATAATTGAAATTTTTAAAATTTTGTTTCTTCTGGTTTGTTGACATTGACGTTGAAATTTTATTATTCTTTAAACAGAGAGAAGAATTCTGAAATTCTTTATCTGATGAAACTTTTTTTTTGATTGAAATCGATTATATTGATCATCAATCATTTCAGAAAGATTTCGATACTATNACCAACAACATAGACAAGATTATCATTATTATTGTATATATATGAAAATGAATAATTTAAAATGAAAACAGATTGGCGACAGATTTATAAATGATTCATTTTTATCATCATCATCAATTTTTTTTAGTCCAAGTGTTTTTACAAACAAACGAACAAAAAGTAAAAAAATAAAATTATATTTAATACCAGAATTCGTTTCTCTTCTTTTTTGGTGGAAAAATCATCAAATTCACAAGAGAATTACTGAAATGTTTATTTAGAAATAAACTAACCACCCACACACACAATCCAAAACACCAAAAATTGACCATTTTTTTTTTGATTGGTTTCGAATGAATCGATTTCATTTTACAGTTGGTGATTGGTGATTGGATAAACTGATCAAAATCTATTATTGATGATAATGATGATGATGAAAAATCCAAGAATTCAAAATCATTTTAGTTAATTTCCAAATTTTTCCTATGAAAAAGATGTTCAGTTTTTGGATTCTGGTTTGCTTTATTTTGATTGTTCCCACATGTTTCGTTTTCGCTCGTTTGTTTGTACGTTTTCGGATATTCAAATTTGTTTTTTTTAATTTGAATATTTTTTCTCTATGCAAATAAGGGTATCTTTTTTTCTTTGTTTGATTAACTGTATAATTGAAATTTTTAAATCTTCTGGTTTGTTGACATTGACGTTGAAATTTTATTATTCTTTAAACAGAGAGAAGAATTCTGAAATTCTTTATCTGATGAAACTTTTTTTTTGATTGAAATCGATTATATCGATCATCAATCATTTCAGAAAGATTTCGATACTATCGATTATTACATTTCGATTGATCATAATTTTTTTTTTTGGTTCAGATCGGATGATGATGAAATAGATTGTTTTTCTTCTTGTTGTCGAAATAACTTCTTTTCTTTTTTTTTGCTTGTTGATGTTCTTGTTCTGTGTTTTGATTGATGTAAAAATAATAATAAATCCAACAATGGAAAAACAAATAACAAGGGAAAACAAAAAATGTTTTCAAACAAACAAACGAAAAAAAATGATGATATGTGATTCGACAAACCAAATCCACCCAATGTTTATATAGTTATGTAATGTCCAATTTGATAAACAATATGATGATGTTTGTCGATGTCGATATCGATATCGATGATGATAATCACGCAATTATTTTTTTTCTCTCTCTCTCTCTCTCTCTCTCTCTCTCTCTCTCTCTTGGGTATATCTCTTTTCTCCGATATATATATCATAATCATGATTTTCAAAGATGAAAACAACAACAACAAGAAAAACAGAAGAATTTTTTCGATAATAAATCAATATTAATAATAGGGATTGATCATCATCATCATATCAAACAATCTGTTTGTTTGTTTTGTTTTTTATACCATCATCATCATCATGATGATTACTTAAGTTATGATTTATTTAAGTTATTTAATTAATTTTCAATCTCATTTAATTTCATTTCTTTTGTGTTTACAATGGTACATTGTTTTTCAATCAATCAATCAAATTGATTGATTGATTGATTTGATATTTGTACACAAACACAAACACACACACAATACGAATTGTCAATAAAAATTTTGGATTATGTCATTCTGATTCATCATCATTTATTAACCTTATTCATTTTATACTCTTGAGACATTTTTGGGTATGTTCCATTTGTTTGTTGTGATTCTTTTTTTTATTCCAATGATTCAATGAAAAATCATTCACCTTGAACCAAAATTGTCATTTTTCTTTTCTATTCTTTCCATACAAATCAATTGATGTTTGTTTGGTTTTTCCCCTCCATTCTTTCTCTCTCTCTTATTAGTCCAATATTGTTGAGGCGTAACGAAATAAAATTAGTACCAGAGAACAGAGAGAGAAAGAAAAAAATCCCGATTGAAAATTGAGATTCATTGTCATTGTCTATTTGTGTCGGTCTGTTTAGATCTCTATGGATCCAAACACACAATAGATACAAGATAAATGATGTATTTTTGTTTTGTTTCATTCTCTCTCTCTCGCTCTCTCTCTCAATATTTATATTTTTACCTCGACCACCACTACCGCAATAAAAACAATGATCCTTATGGAATACAATTAGATTTTTTCCAATTGTGTGTGTGTGTTTAGGTTTTGGATCATTTTCAATTATTCTATTCAATGTTTTCATTGTTTTTTGTTTTGTAAATCGATCTTGTTAATTTCTCTTGCGACCAATTTATTGTTTATAATCGATATGGCCATTAGTAAAAATCTAATTTCCATTTGTTTATTGTCATTGAGGATGGAGGGGATGTTACATTTTTTTCTGATTTTGATTTTTGTGTCAATTATCGATTAATGACAATCAATTTAATACAGCTAACGTTTTATTATGGTGATCACAAATTGTAGAGCAAATCACTTCTGTACTGAAAAAAATCTTTTCAGAATTCATATCATTTTAATTTATTTATTCATTCGAATGAACAGAAAAACAGAAAAAATCTTATGGATTATGCATAGAGAGAATCTTGTGTGCAATCATCAATGACATTATTTATCTATTCACTAACTATTTTTGACAATTTTCTTCTCTCTCTCTCTTC